TTATTAAAGTCAATATAATTATGTATATGTTACTGATACTATATAGTGCTTTGCTTGTCTTTTACTATATAGTAATTACTGTGTTCTAAAATCATTTTATTATTTATTGTAATTTAAGATTACAATACTAATATTTTTGTTGTCTTATTATTTTTTAATTATTGAAGATGTAATCACTGTCTATGTAACAAAATAATTCAAAGTCACAGCAGAATTTTCAATGCAATACCCTGTGTAATTGAACTTTACAGCAGAAAAGAATTGAAGACAAAAACACAAACGAAAACAATGATAAGTTTTATCTACAAAAAATGTCACTTTATATCGATGATTGCTGACGTTATTGATTCGGAGCAGAGGGGCTCATAGGTGCCATAAAACTCTAATCAATTTAAGTGCGTCATAGTGTCAACAAATTATCACAGACAAAAATCAAAACATAGGTATAAACGTGAAATTCAGCGAAAATCGCTATCATTCAACTTCGAAACGCTAACAAAATGTGAATAATATTTTTGCAACTACAGAAGGAGTGATATGTAATCACTAAATCAAGAAGGAGTATGAGCGTAAATACTCTTAATAACATGTGTCAACTTGAAGTGGCACATTTGTTTTCGCTAAAACAATTGGGTTTTATCATTGTTTTTTTTTTTAAATTATATTCCTAAGTGATTTATTTTACGTTAGTTAAAGAGAAAGTACCTTTCATAAATATATTAAGTTATTTCACTCATAATGATTAACATTGAGCTTCTTTGAAACAGAAATAATTATCAATCGTAAAGCAAGTAAACAAAACGGATGGTGGGTATATTTAAAAGTAGCTTGATCCTACTGATAATATTAAGTGCTTTCTTAATTATTTTTAAAATGTTTTTTATTATATTTTAACCCTTATTTTTAGATTTTCTAACTGATATTTGTTATATTTATATACGAGTATTGATAAGCTTAAGGCATCATACATTCATTACATATATCACCGTTCCTAGCCCTAAAAAACACGAAGGTGTGTGCTTTTGCAAAAATGTGTATACAAAATTGTACAAAATCGTACATACTTATCGTTATCAAGTTTATCTCTGATTTTTTATTAACAATAATAAAAAATTTATCAGCTCGTAATTATCATAAATAAAAATTGATTATTATGCTTAAAATTGACCGATTTGATGAATATCTTTAGAGGCTACCAAGGCCAATGCAATACATTTACAGATAAGACCCAATTAGTTTTTGAAAAATGTGGTATAATAAGCTTTTTATTAAATTGAAATAAAAGCGAAAAATAAAGAAAATTATTTATTTTGCATCCTTAAAATTAAGGCTATACCAAAATAAACATTTTTAGTGAAAATATGAAAATTAAATTTTTAAATTAAATTTTTAATTAAATTATACTTTATTAATATATTGATATTCAGATGTCTGAGTTGGTGAATCAACACCTTTACTCTATTTTATCTGTGGTTCTAAGTCACACTAAGTATAACTGAATACGGAGCTTTATTATATGATGGATCTGATGTCTTTGTATCTGCCTGTGTTTATCAAATTACGCTGTATTTTTAGGATGCTGAGAGTTGGATTATTGTGACTGTCAATTATATTGAACAGTTTCAGAGCACGATCTTTAATGTATTTTTCGACTGAATCGACTCTCAGATCTCTGACTTTATTAATACCAACAAGAAAGGCAATCTATGAGTTAAGACAATACTGTCATTGGACAATTACAATAGGAAAAATTTTAAATTCTACATTCTAATGTCGAATGTACAGAACGTACAAATATTATCTGTAAAAAAGATAAGCAGAATTCATTTAATTCTGCTTATCCAAAAACATATTAAAAATGCTACACCGAATATTAACTGAACAGTAGAGACATTGCATTAAAACCAATGTGAAGATTCTCATATGAACTGACAAATTCGAAATAGTATATATTAGAGAATTTCTGTACACCGATACACAATAGGCAAAATAACTGCAATCATACTTAACACTATATAATGAAATAACAATATCAGTTTAAGCTGTCATTCTAAACATTACGAGAATCTAAGCCTTTTAATAACTCTTTAAGGCATTGCCCTATATCAGCACGCATTAGTACATTCTTCAAAATATTCATAGAGCTAATATGTCTTTAACTCTTTACTACATCTGTTGTTCATATGCATATTTGCATCAACTGCGGGAAATACTGTAGTAAGCGCTTTTGCAGATAAAAATAGTAATCATAAGTGATATGTATCCATAATCGTCTCAGCGTAAACTAAAAAGCTTTGCCAAAAAATTTGTTTATACATACAATGCAATAAAACTTAAATCAACGAAACCCCTAAAGTTAGGTTATGCATCTCGATACGATCGATACGTATTTTAACAAAAAAATTATAACAAAAAATCAACAAATAAAATATTATAAATATTAAACATTTCTATAAATGTCTATAAAATTATGTTGAATCTTTAAATTATTACTAATTGATATTAATCTATATATTGGTTTGTTCATTTATCATATTGCTTTTGTTCATTTACCATAATATCATTTATGGTTTTGTGTAAGTTATTGATGATTTTCTTATAGCGTACAAATAATTAATTAATTATTTATATTTGAGCGATAAAACATAAAGAAAATCATTTCACAGAAAGCTCATCAAACAAAAATCATCATATATTTTGATAAATATAGATTTTCGACTTGATTCGCTATTCAACTTTTTTATACCATGATAACTGTATTTTTCTAGTTCGAGAAGCAAGTTGTTGGATTAACATAGCTTATATCAATTATATAGTTTTCTTTTGTCCCTAGTACGTATACAACTTCAACATTCAAATCGGCTTTCAATACATCTTATTCATTAGATCGAAAAATTCTTTTCTTGCTTCAATAAAAATTTTTTAGTTGAATATGCCGGAAGCGTCTCTTTGACATTTTATATTATTAGGAAAAGAAATCAACTTTTTTACTATATACCATATATAAAACTAAATTTTTTATCGAACAATGCTATATACATAACTCAGCAATAATTAACCATAAAATATACAAAGAATTGCAACTTATCTTGTTTAAAAGTACAATTAATTTCTTTTTTTTGAATTGATGTTAATGTTATGTTATGGAATTTTTGTTAAATTCCAGATAATATGTATAGTTATAAAATGTATGATAGTTGATTTATGTTCTTAAATAATGTATTAATAATATTTTTACCATCATTTATTTATAAACAAATTTTAACAATTCAATTTATTTTTTGAAAGTACTGTAATTGAAAAATTAGCTTAAAAAGAAATTTGGTGAATATTTCTTAATTATAATTAACTTTATCATTTTAGTCCTTATATAAACTAAGTAGAATGTATGTATAAAAAGGTATAAAAAACGTCAATGAATTTCGACACAAATATAAAATATTATTTGCATGTACCGCATACCGAATGTGTTAAATAGTGTATATAATCTTCATTTTCATTGATCTATTTTTCATACAGTCTCAGAAATAAAGCAAGTCTTTTTTAGTCCTTTAAATATGTGCACTCTCCGATTTATCAAGATTATAACAACAAAATTAGAGACTTTAATTTATTTACATTCTAACAAAAATAAAATAAATATAAATACAAATAAATGTATAAATAGTTTGTGCGAAATAAAAATATAAATGTAAAAGTAATATATAAGTATTGTTATTTCGGGCTTTTGATCATCTTTTATTATATATAACTATTAAAACTTTTGTATTGTTATTTTAGGCTTTTGAACATAATCTCTTTTATGTAACTATTAAAAATTTGAAGCAAATTCTGCTTCATTTTAACTAAACATAGAAAAGGTCATCGGATTTCTTATCTTAAATCTTTTTTTTTGATATTTCTAGCCCATTCGAAGTTGGCATTTGCTTGTTTTCTGATTTTCTCTTTAACCAGCAGTGTACAAAGATCACAATATATATTAGAATTGCTATGGCAAAATGGTGACAATTCAAAGAATTTTATTTATAAAGCCTTGAAGTAAATTTAAGCTTTATTTACTGGATTATCTCTATAACTGTGTCTCAAAGCACCATATCGATTTCAGTATTTAAATCTATGAATCCCGCCTAATATAATAATCCAACTGTTTTCAAAATCATTGAAAATAAAATAAAACTTTGCATCCAAAAAAATTTTTTTGTTTAATGATCACAGACTTACTCTGTCTTTCATATGAATCGCCTTTAAGACTTGTATTATCACTTTTAAGAAACCAGCCTACTTAAAAATCGTTATCTTTGAAGGGTCCGATTTATTTTACACAACATCGGCAACAATTTCGATAAATAAATAAATTTACTCTGATGGAAAATTAAATATTAAAATGGTGTTTAGTTGAACTATATATTAATAGTTAATATATATATATATACATATATATATATATATATATATATAGCATTCTACTATCTTATAGATTCACTTAGTGTACAAAAGCTCTAATTTCGAAATCAAATCTCTTTAAATTTAAAAAAAAAACCATTTAAAATAATATCTTTTCTGTTCACTTAATTATTAACGTTTTTAGCAAAATATTTAAAAATATTTTTTTTAATTATTATTATTTATTTTTTATTTATTAATATTAAAATTTTTTAACGTGCATCTACGATGATTAAATCTAAATTCTAAATCTATTTTAATATGTCATGCTAATTAAAAATTTATTAAATAAAAGAAATGTATCACTTTAATTGTAAAAAACTGATGTGTACCAAATTTTCATTGAATTTATGAGATCAAAAGCCAAACATGCAAATAATAATGTACATACTATTTAATAAAATTTAGAATTTGACGTTTATTTAAATGCAAAAAAGTGTTAATTGCTTTTATGATCGCATGGATACTCATATTTACATAAATAATTTTAGCACAATCTTATCATATGTCACTAGATTGGCACGAGTGTATTCACGTGTTACTACAAAATACTTTAACTAATGACTGCAAACAGGTAAATTTACTGGAAAGAACACATTTAGCTCTATCATTGATGCGAACATGAGAAATATAAAATACATTATCGCGCAAGCAACTCCAATTTTTCTATTAAGTTCAAATTTGTTAACAACAAATGCTACATAAAGACATACTAATGTTATCAAAAGACATATTGCTGAATAGGAGAGCCCTGATGAATTTAGAGTAATCCATCTCTCATCTGGGTTCGTTGGCATGAAATATGCTTTGATAAACCAAGGCAATCCCAAACTTAATAAAATATCGAAAGTATTTGAACCAATTGAATTGCTGATGCCCATCGCACCTTGACCGTGTTTACTAACGATTATACTCGAAAGTGCTTCCGGTACACTCATGCCAGCAGCTAATATAGTCAATCCCATAATCGAGTCGGGTATTTCAAGTGTGTCACCTACAACAAAAAGAATTAATGTTAATTAAAAAAAGTTGAAATATTTGTATAACTTTGGATGTAAGAATGGCTATTATGTTAAGATTAAACACTAGAATAATTTAATGCTCTTGATAGTAGTTATCATTAGCAGAAGAAATTTTAGAAAATATTTTAATTGATAAGATATATTTAATTGATGATTCATTTTTTTAATCATTAATCAAAATATGTAACATAAATTAAAGCGATTTTATTAACTATGAATAATTTTATATATTGCTATATTAAACAATATATATAAAATATGATTTAAAATTGAATTATCTAATAAATTGTCGGCGTTGTTAAAAGAATTTGATATCAGTCATATATATCATAACAACATGCGATTTGAAGATATTTTTTTAAGTTTAATTTATTCCAAATACAATATTTTAGTAAAATTTTCTTTAAATAAGATATCAATTTTTAATCAATAAAATAAACTCAATTGAGTTTTATATTTTTTTATATGTAATGAAATGAATCAACATATGACGTCTCAAATTATTCAAATTTATTAATCATGATGTAAGACCTGAGCCTTGCGATAAGTACCGACTTACTGAGCCTTTACTTTTCTTAAGTTTTTTTTTTTAATTCTACGAAACGATTTTTATAATTTATAATAGAGATTATTCATTAGAGGTACATATTTCCTTGTTCCAAATATGTATTATTTAAATCTCTGTTTTAAGTTTTTCCAAAATGTGTTTAAATAGCACTAAAAAGTTAAGTGTTCTGCATTAATTAATAGTAAATCAACTGCTAGGCTATGGAAGGCTATTTATAGGTATTGGAACTATTTCTTAGACCTTCAATATTATATTCAGATTGTTTATATTTATAATGTTCGTATTATACTACATATTTTCTCTTATTCAATAGCAGCAAAATTAGCAAAAAAAAAACATTAAGCTATTTTCATTGGAACGCTTTAAATATACTCTGCTATTTTTTTATAAACTATATTAACATTTTTTAAAGATATTATTATAGTTCTTTATAAAAAAACTAAATCTTATAAATTTATAAAGTTTATAAATTTATATCAAAATATTTTAAGAATATTATTAATGTTCTTTACAAAATTAATCCTTAAAAATTAATAAAGTTTAGAAATTTATAAACTATTCTAAAATTTCCTGTGGATAAGGTTCTTTATAAAACCATATCTTAGCGTTAGTTTTAAATTTTCTTTAAGATCCTTTACATATGCACTATTTAACATTCACAACATGATGTCCTTAGAATTTTTCGCTGGACGGGAAATACTTATAAATTTTTTTAGTTTCGTAATTCAAAATAGTGATCGCTCAATGCCTTTGAGACTATCAAACGATTTTTTTTAACATATTATCCAGAATCTGGAGAAATAATGTTTAATAAATTTCTTATTAAAAAATGAAGCGTTAATGTTATATGTATACTGTAAACTTTCTTTAACATTAGTAAAATTCTTTATTTAAATTCCACCATTGTGTTCCATCAAGTGAAGATTTTCACCATTCCAAAAAAAGAAAACTTTAAAATATTGTTCAAAAATACTTATGTCAATTATATAATTCAATTCTAATATTCATGTTAATCAATTCTATAAAACTTAAATAATCCAAATCAATAACTTTAACGTTCAATATGCATTATTTTACTCTTACTTACCTATAACGGTTATGACAAAAGTCACAACATATGACAAAACACCAATCCAGATAATGGACATTAAGAAGGTAAAAAACTTCTTTTTAGAGTTTTTACGACTATCTGGAATAGTTAACCACAGTATAAAAGTGATGGGCCAACGGAATATAAATTCAATTGCATTCATTTGTTCGCTACACTGCCAAGGACTGTCAGCAAAATCTTATGAAAAACAAGAATAGTTAATAATATTAATTTTTTTTAATAAAAAAAAGATATTCAAAACATTTTAATAACAAACTTACCACTATCATTACTGCTAACGGAAGTTGAACTGACAGCTATTTGAGATTTTTCAATATCTAAAGCCTGATATGTTGAAATCTGTTCAATTCCAAACTTTGAACTGGAATTATTGTTTCTGCTAACAAGAAGTGGTGTTATTTCATTGACTTCACGAAAAGGTCTTATGCGTGATTTACGTTGTCGATACTTAGAAATAAGTTGGCGAGCTGTACGTGCTACTTTGTCATTGTAATACATGACTAAAAAAATTCAAGAAATATTAAAGATTTAGATCATTAAATTATAAGTCATAAAAAACTTACCTGTCATGTATAAAAAATAAGCAATCACTAAAGAAAGCGCTTCATACCAATATACTTTGCCATCATATAAAGTAATTACTAAGCCTAACGTGGCTAAGAAATATATGAGACAATCTCTGGTCAATGACCACCAATCAAGCTTAATACATCTAACTACGAAAAGACCACAACAAGCGGGCACAGCAAGCATATTAAATACAGCTGAACCAACAATTGTACTAACACCAATATCACCACCCGTTATGAATGTACCCACACAGTTCAAGAACAATGCAGGTCCTGATATTGCTGCTGCCATAAAAGTAGCACCAATCACATCCTTTTCCATTTTAAAATCTAAAATTAAATTGTTATTTTATATTAATTATATCTTTAGAAACATCTACGTTTTAAAATTTATTACTTACTGACGCAAATAATTTCCACAGCTGGCACAAAATATTCATCACATATCACAGCCAGTATCCAAAAGCAATAAAAAGCGATTATTATATGAACTATAATCCAACCATGTTGGCGTTGTTCATGTGTAAAACCATCTGATGGAAATTCTAGTATGGCTGCTGGTGTACAATTTTCTTTATTAGAAACTGTTTCCACAGATCTTCGGTTTCTTTTCAAAAATTCATTTAAATTTGTTTGAATACCATTCTGGCCTAAGCTTATATCTTCTTGCGGGTAATAAGGTACTGCGAAATAAATTTAATAAAAAATATAACACTATATTCATTTTGTAACGTTATTTTAACGAAAACGTTCTAAAATTGTTATAAATACTGAAATAAGAGCAAAAATTAAATATCAATATCAGCACGTTAACTGATAATTATTTTTAAAATGTTTATAATACAATTTAAATTTTCTAATTTAAAAAAAAATTAACTAGGTCCTTTAAAAATAATTATCTCAATATTCAAATAAGTTTTCAATAATTTTTTTATATAAAAAATATGTTTCGTTTATTTATTTTGAAAATTTTGATCATTTATTTTGACCGTCTGTACTACCGTTCTGGTAGTATTATCAAAGTACCAGAGTTTTTTTTAGATATTGCGCCATATAAGTGGGTCAAAAATCACTTTATGCTGAACTTCTGATTTATAATTCATATTATAAAGTGAAAGTACAATTACAGAAATTCATAAGTCATTAACATTAACAAAGACCTGAAAATAAAAAAGTCTTTGGAACATCTCTTATATATATGTCTTGCGCTGTTAGACTTCTCAGAAATGGAGTTTTTAACAGTCTTTAGACGTAAGGTGACGTAACAACCTTACATAATACCAAATATATGTCTACATAGATCTTTCTACATCTGATATCGCTACGGCCCAATACATAGATGTATAGCCAGAATAATCTGAACTAACATAGATGATAGTTTGTGTTCCCGGGCATTCCAATATAACAGGAAACGAATGCGTAAAAGAGTGTGCTAGACTGAGTGCCTCTTTTACGGATATCACTGTCCCTGCCCCTGACAGCTTCAGTCGATAGTGGATTTATAATCACTTATTGCGGCAGACAAATAGTGAGTGGGCCCATACTGCCACAGCAATCAGGTCAAGGGCTACATGGCCAATCTATTTTAAAAAAAGTCATGACATGATACACAGAAATACATCAGAGGTATCTATCTTTAAAAGGCACTGGACTATAGAACGCATGGAACCATCCTCAGTCACTCTGTAGTATCTCTTGCAATACATATCTACTGGCTCTCGAAGAAAGAACACCTGTATCCAGTCTTGTCAAAACCAGGCTTAAGTTTTTGGTTTTGAACAAGCCTAAGTTTATGGTTTTTAAGTTTTAAGTTTTTAACACGCTCAGCGACATCTCTAGCATAAGCATTGGTCAGACTTTCGTCTTTGTTGTTTCTGGCTGGTTCTAGCTTGACCATTTTTTCACCAATCATTACGAACATATGTCGATTTAAAACAGCATTTTAAGCTAATTAAAGAGTATTCATTCCTCCCTCTACTTCAACTAACAACTATTTAACCTAGCTACTCATATCATTAGAAGTGAATTGAAAATAGAGCATCTCACTTAATATAAGGATAAACTCAATTCACATAGAGTTTCTTGTTATTCGAATTATATGCTTGAATTACTGCTATCTTAAAATAAACTTTTTTTATGAACTATTAACTTATCTGGCAGCAATATTTAAATTGGATAACTCCATTCTTAGTTTCATAGTATACTTTAGTATAATTCAAGTAAGCACTTGAATAATATGTCGTATGAATTCATCAACAAATATGAAAGTATTCTGTATAATAAGTAGTCATTGAGACTATTAACTACAAGACAGTTAGATTCAAACTAGATAGTAAGATTGGTGATTCCTTTAGAACTATCATACAGAGACAGACTTTGCAGGTATATTTCAAGCGGAAGTGAAAAAAAGAAATTTATTCAAAAACTAATATTATATTCTTTACTAGGAGCTTATCAAAAGTCAAAGACTACAATTACGATTTATTATTTTAAAAAATATCCCTCATTTGGATATAAGGATATACTGATTATGACAGTTAATGTATAGCAGACGACTAGCATACAAATCATGTACTATATAAATTATTCTATATATACATATATCAATCAATATCTGCTAATCTATCGTGTACAGTTATTTCATATATACTACAGCCGCTGAAAAATCCTTTTTTGAATAACTCCAAAAAACAATCCGAAACTGATATTGTTAACTTTACAAAATTCTCAATGAAAATTTATTTAGTTTAGTTGATGCGATTTATTATTGACTCATGCATACATGTAATTAGAATTCTTCTGTTTATAGTAACCATGAACTTGAGTGTTCTCATAAACGTGTTTACATTAGTCTCAAGAAAAAAATCACTTAATTTCTCTTAAAAAGATATTTAATAATTATTTCATCCAAAAAAAAATAATATATATTTCACTAACGACTTTTATTTTTTTATATATTGTTATTTAAGAATCATTTTAATTATCCAATTATTGTTAAGTCAATGTATAAAACTTTTACAACTTACACTCCAAATTATATTCATTCCTGGTTTTCAAATAATTATCCAGCAAAAATTTCGAATAAAATATAAATATCACAGTTAAAAATATTAAAATTCTAATTAAAAAAGCTAATTTAGTGCGGCATTTATATAAATTATTATCTGAATTTTGACGTAAAGTTCTTTTGCACTTTGGCCAACAAAAAGGAACTACACTCATTTTTAAATTACACAAAATATATATTTATTTATATATGCAGTTAAATAAACACAAATATTAAATTATAAAAATAAAATATTAACGCGGTTTTTAGTTTAGTTCAGTTTTAAGGTTTAGAGACGACTGTCTAATTTTGAAGATCAATCGAATCTTTTATAATAAGATTTAGTGACAAAGTAAACTATAATGTTTGATTTTAAACAAATTTGGAATATTCCTAATAAATGATAAGAAGGGAGAGGTAGAAAAACATGCAAATGGAAAATTTATGCATCTTATAAAATACAGTGGCACGAAAAATACAGAGATTGCTTGAAAAAGGGTACACTATATAGTACGTATATAAATTGTCAAATCATCAACGCAGGTAAAAAAAATTTTCCAACCTTTTGCTTACTTCTTTTTGAAGTCATTGAATGCAGTGGGCTTATTAATTCTTTAAAACAAATTCTCTCTCAAAAAATTATTTACGAATAATTATATATAATTATATATAAAAAATAATTTGGCAATACTCAAAATTGCTATATATTCAGTCAAAAATTCAATTAATTAATAAAATAATACAATTTTAATGTTGTACTTTAATACTATTCGAAATACCTTGTTATTGAAAGCAAAAGTTTATATTAAGAATGTAGTTTTTTCCGTTTCAAAACAGACGTTAAAATTCAATCTAAAATTCTACACTAAAATTTTACACCTACGCCCCTGAAAAACATAGAATTTAAGAAACATGTATATTATCACGTTTTCCGTCAATCTGAAAAACTATCAGCAAAATATTTACTCAACCTTCTATTTTTACTTTAGGCTCAATTTTAAAAAAGAACACTTAGTAATTTGTTCAAACATTTATTATGTTAATTAATAATTATTTTATTAAATTTTATATTTTAATATATATATTTATTAATAATATATAATAATTTAATATATATTAAATTAATAAATATATTTAATATATATAAATACATAAAACTATATATGAATATTATATTATATTAATATTAATATATTATAATGTATTGATATAAAATATATTAAATATATTTTTAATATTTAATATATTTATATAAATATATTTAATATATTAAAACTAAATATTTATATAATGACTATTTTAGCAATGTGAGTATCTTTGATTCATAAGAGGAAAATAAGAGGAAGTTTTTATTAACAATTTTACTTGCTGTGTTTATATTAGAACGAAATCATAAACCAGCTGTAGAATAATTGAATTAATTAATTAATTATAATTTTATTTTCAATTGTTAATTTTCAAAACTATTCTGTTCGTAGAGGCATTATTTGTTGCATGATTTGTTCTTTCTTATGTATAGAACCTAATCTAGGAACGTAATGCTGAGAAAGTCATGCTAATGTTACTCCACTAGTCGCAATTTCTTTATAATATTTTCTTTTTATTATGATAATAAATATATACTAACCTTTCTAATAATTATATACTGCAACATATGTATAACTAAATAAAAATAAATAAACAAGCGATAAAAAAATGTTTTAATGATTAATATTAAAATTGTTTCAGTATTGCTCCCTATTCTTATAAACAAATATAAGAAAATGTTTAGAATATATTCTTTTTTCCAAAATTTTGTTTAAGTGGTTTGTGTTTGTTTACTATATAAGACAAACACCAATGGGCGATTTCACAATCATAACTTATTTCATTAACTTTGTTGACTTAAGTCATACTTAAATCAATTTTGAGACTTAAGTTGCTACGGTGAAGTTGGGTCTAAGTGTGGCATATTTCCAATGAAAAATTTAATAAAAAATCACAGCGTTGCGGAGAAAAATATCTTAATTTTGGGTTTATTTTTATTAAAACTAACAAAATCACCAAAATAACACTGTTAATTATAAAACTATAAAACAAAAAAATAAAATTATTAATTTAAATAATTTGTATGCAATCTATTACACAAGTCTATAATATTAAGTAAATTTATTTGCATGTAAATACAACTAACAAATACTAATCTTCTACGAGTTTACATATATCTACATTAATACAAAACTTGTGTACAACAAGTGCCATATGAAATTTCAAATCAAACAAAAGCAAAAAAAAAATTAATAAATACATGTATTATTATTTTTATTAATTACAACATAGCCTATTATTATTTTCAAATCCACTTTATTCTGTTCTGAAAAATTATTCTGTTTTGCAGAATCAATATATTTGTTTAATCCGGCAAATGAAAACTTTTCATCTTCCACTTTTAATTCATTTTTATTTATGTGAATTATAATTTATATAAGCTAAATCGTCATTTAACCATTCATTAATTTAGACCGATGTATATAAATGTACATACCTTCTGTTAAAAAAGTATTTTGTAAATAAAACACACAAATTTAAATTTTATTCCAAATTTATTTTATGTCCTTCAAAATATGCTCCTTTTATTCTCTTTTATCGATTCAATCGACTCAAAGCGCTTACCACGAAGGGACAATTTGAGTTTCGGGAACAGGAAAAAGTCGCACGGATCCAGATCTGGCGAATATGGTGACTAAGCGATGACAATGGTGCCGTGTTTGGTCAAAAATTTGCGTACAACAAGAATGTTCCATAACAGCTGCTGTAAGCAAACTAATTGACAGATGGCGCTCAAATTTGTACCACATGTCAAGAAAGGGTGTACTAACATGACAAAAAAAAATTACTTAAGGAGTAGTTAACAAAAAAAATCCGGATACTTTTTGAGCAGAAGGTATATCTGCTACTACAATATTTTTACCAATTAACTTATTATCTATGTGATGTTAGATTCTCCAAGCAGCAGGTTTAAAGAAAAATCATATTCAGACGGCGTCACTCTCGTGTTGAAATATTTATCCTAACACAGTTTTATTATGATTCCCCTTCCCACCTTCTTAAAATGAGTAATAACAAATGTATTACCCTAAAACCTAAATATTCGTCCAGATTCAATGAAGTCGTTCTCAATGGTGATCGAAATGTGTGACAAAAACCTTCAGGAATCTGGTTCTAAGTATGGTTGTGATAATAGTCCTTCAGTGTAATAATGATAAAAACCCATTAATATAAAATTTTTGTACAAGTATTTCAACTGACATAAGGGACACGTCAAAAGGAAAATTTTTTTTAATTTTTTAATTATCAGGAAACATTAAAAGGAACAAAAGAAAGAAGGAATACAAAAACCAATTTTTAAAAGTGAATTCTATCATTCAAACATTATAAGTATGAGTAAAATCTATTAGCAAGCTCTTACATCTAAATTAATAAGCATATTTTCTTAAAAATTGTGTCTACTTAGTATTAAAATACCTCAAGTTTCGTTATTAAATTTTATTATTTAAAAACATTAAGTCCTTTTTTTCCATATCATTATACTCTGGCAGCCTCATTGTATTTAAGCGATCAACTTTACATCCGTTCTATCCAAATGGCAACACATAGATATTTTGTCACATATATCATATACATTTTATATGGTATTTTACGGTGCAAAATATTTAAGAAAACTAGAGTCTAAATTATTCAATAAATAATGTTTCGAATTGTAGAACCAACATTGCATATAATTTCAGTTGGAAATACTACGTTATATGGATTATTGAATATCGCTAAGCTGATACCTGATACTAAGCTGATTTTTGTAAAATAAATTCGTATTAAAATGAGCACAATCTTCGATAGACGCCAATTATTCATTTAAGATCTGTAGCAAGTTCTTCATTCCTAATATATATAAGGTATATATTTAGCCATATTTAAAACTATTTTATCGTACGAAAAATTTTCCACTGAATATGTTTCCTTAACTATGTATGTATATAATAATTTTAGTGAATTCTTTACAATTAGAACGCTAACTATTTCCTAATCAAATCAATTGCGAAAATAAAATATTTTTGCAAATTAATCACTCTTCGATTGATTTATATATCAATTAATAATATTACTTATAATTTTAGACTGCTATGTTTAACTACAATGACGCCAATAGAGAAGCCCAAGACGTTAATTCCACAAAAAAAATTTTTTGAAAAACTTTTCGTTTCTACGTCAAACTGGTTTTTTAATTAAAATATAGAATAAAACAAAGAACTTAATTTTAATTTATGGTCTTAAATATAATTCTTTAGTATAAGTAAATTTTTAATAATAAGTATATATTATCAACATTTTCAAAAAATAAATTATTTTTATCAGCAGGTGCAATTGAAAAATATTTTCAGTTTTTTTTCTTTAAACAAATAAATTAAAAGCAATTAAATACTTTAAAATTATTATTATTTTTTTTTTTTTGTTTATTGATTTTAAACCAGTTCATATATTAGGTGTTTATTTCCCACGATATGTAGATATATGTTGCTAGACGAAAACGTATCTATTTTTTTTTGTATTTTGCTAATACTTAAATTATTGAAAAAAAATGTGGCGTGCCACAAATGATAAGAAGTACTCCCATTGATACGACTTTGAAAGTTTACATCAGGGAATTTAAAGTCTATTGTTAAAAATAGTTACGCTTAGGAAATCAATCAAATATCAATAAATATTAAATACATGCCATTTGATATATATTAATAAATTAATGCAAAAATACTAGGGGACTTAGTTTTTATCAGATGATAAGTTGGCTGACTTTGCATGTTCTTGAGTTAATACCTACCAGTTTAAACCAGTTCGTGGCAGAAATAGGCATTCATGTAGGCAGATTGCAGATTGCAGGTTGTTAAAATGTCATTAGAGCATTTTGATTTATGATGGTATTTATTAGATTCATGTAGCATGTAGTGGTCTCATGTATGCGCACCTCCCTTGATTTTTGTATATATTTATTTTACTTTTTCCTTATTCTATTTTTATTATTAAACTATAATCAATATTTGAAGTAGCAGTCATAAAAATATTTTAAGAATATATTTACTTCTATATACCTGGTTTCTTAAGTAAACACATTTCTCATATATAAATATTTTAAGATTATGTTGAACCCATGATCAGTACTTGAATTTTGTGCTTATTTCATTGTTTTACAACCTTTTAAGAAAGTTGCTTTGGAGTAGATTTGTATAGAAGCGTTACGCATTTATTTCAATATAACACAGCATCAAGCCTCAAAAAAAGGTAGAGAGAACATTATTATGGAGGAGTTTTAGCACCTCAACCTCAACATGTATTGTGTTTTGTTCATATAGTTTGACCATCACCCCTATAGTATTGAATACTTTAGGGCCAGTTGCTGTCCATGAATAAGTACTCGTACAGTAGTATTAGTTAACGTTATAAATTTTGCTTACTATATTCTTACTATGTACAAATAATCTTCTGAACATGTTTTAATTTCGTCAATAGTAAATATAAGGTCCTTCGGAAAGTTAATTCGAATTTAATATATAACTAACTAGATGCTTTTATTCCCTTTTGATACTGTTTCATCGGAAATTTACATCTAAATTTGATTTTACCACAACTCGAAGCAAAATATTTGATAGTTATAATTTTATAAATAAAATTTTTAATTTTTAATTGATAATAAAAAAAAATTTAATTACAAAATACTAATTGGTAAATGTATAGTACTAAATATATTAACTTCAACAATGCATGCATATAACAAATAAATTATATACAATGTACCACATATAAATCCTAGTCTTGTATTTAATACAAAATTTGTTAAAAGAAAAATTAAATATAACACAATTATAGACAACAACAAAGTAGCAGAGTCTATAGCTATTGTATGTGAATTAATTTGAACGAAATATTTGCCCGGATATTTTGGAAAAAAGTAACCTTTGATCAACCACGGCACGCCAAGACAAAAAAGTATATCATATGTATTAGAACTCAATGCATTACAAATAGACATTGAACCATAACCTAAAATTGAATATAACAAAATATATCCCACAATAAAAACAGAAAATAAAACATACCCTTAGTTGTAACGATTATACCAGATATAGCTTCAGGTATGCTAGCACCAAGTGCTAAGAAAGTTATACCCATTATGGTGTCAGGAACAAAAAAATGGTATCCTAAAAAATGTATTTCATTAACATTATTTTATATAAAAATAAAAAATGATTGATGTACCCAAAACGGTTAGCATCCATGACACCATATATGTTTCGATACTTATCCATATGATGCACATTATTAAACTACAGATACAAACAATATAATGACAATCTCTTCGACAAATCGGTATTGTCAAATAATATGCGAAATATACAGGCCATATTATACACCAAATACATTTGTTACTTAAGCTTTCTCCATGAGGATAACGGCATATATTGTACATACTATCATCATTATTTATAAAATACTCATTTGGACAATGACAATTCTCTGTAATACGTGTGTTCTTGAAGGACAAATACGAATGTAACTTGGGATCTAAAATATGAAATATAAATTAAATAAAACAAAAAAAAAATTTTCTTTACTTATCACTAAATTTTGCACCCTTAAGTCGAAAATTAGTGTCGTCAAGTATAATGAAAATAAGCAAACCATAAACAATGCCTCCTTCCAAGTCACAATACTGTCCCAAATTATACAGGTTAATGCAACTATCGAAATAATATACCAAACTATATCTCTGGTTATGGGCCACCAATATAAATATGCTGTCTAAAATTTAAATTATATAGTATGATTATTTTTGAACACACTTTCTTAGTAATAAACCATACCACACCGGAAAATAATCCTAATATGGCCGGCATAGCTAGAGTATTGAATACAGATGATCCTACAATTGTGCCAATACCAATATCACCTTCCGTCACGAATGTTGCAATCATATTTACAAACAATTCTGGTGCTGATGTTGTTGCCGCCAAAAATGTTTCGCCCGCTATATAATAGGGCACTTTAAGTTCTATAAGGATTATACATTTATTTTAGTGACTGACTATAATTATAATTTTCTTTTCTAATGTTCTTACTGTAACATAAATTTTCCACAGTTGTTACCAAAAATTGATCACATATGATTGCCAATGCTAAAAAGAGGTAAACACTTATCAGAAATGCTATTCCTGCATAGTCAAAGCGTGGTGGTATACCAGTTAATAGATCTGGAAATTTTTTTATCGCCGCTAACGTGCAGTTGCTTACTTTGTAATCATAATCTGTTTCATCATAATCGATGTCCTCAAAATCTTTCAAATGCGTCATTTTTTAATTGAATATAAAAAAAATTGATTAATAAATCTTTGAGTAATATGTTAAAGATGTTGATAATATGTATATTAATAAATAATATAAATTAAAACATGTATATAATTTTAGAATTCTACTGAAGTGGTAAAATATATTATAAACCTATGCTATACCATTTAAAAATCATATACATACCTACATTTTAATATTATTGATAATGCCAAAATATGGAAGTTTTTTTATAAGTTAGCTCTCAAATGGAATAAAATAGCAGTATAGTTATTCTTGAAATCACGAAACTTTAAAGATGAGAATCAGTGGCGTTAAATTAGTTATTTTTCAAAATTTGTAAGACTATATGGTGCTAAAAAAATAATACATTTAACTTAATCAGAGCCGACATTCAACATGATAATGACTTGTCACTTTTGTAACAAATATTAAAATCTATTTAAAAAAAGTTATATTATAACACTGTCTTTTTTCACTGACGCACTTTGACTTCTGCTCTTGCTCTAATAAGTATTCATCACTCCATTTTGATTGATAGAGATCCAAAAAAATCAAAACTTTAAATTAGAAAGTAATTTCATCGGCAGCTATTTTATTATAACCGCAGCTGATAATTACCAAACGACGTTTAATGATTTCCTGAACAATGTAGAGTACCAGTATTTCACAGAGAGAAGTTGTACTTGCGTGATTCAGTTAGAAATTTAATGCACTTCTACTTCCAATTTATGGATCAACTACAATATTAAATAGTAAAAATTGTAACTTCACTAACTGGTCCAACTGTTATACTGCAACTTAGAAATTATGGTATACTCTTCGTTTTAGAAGGTTAGCTTTATCGCTTAGTTTAAATTCCCCAAGGAAACTACTTTTGTTTATTAATATAAACAGATTTGCAAGAGCACTAGATCAGTTATGGACAAAGCGATTCCTAGTAACAAATCTTCGGAATAAATGATTGAGTATTTTTGAACTACATAAATTTATGCATCCCCGAAATAATCATCCCTATTAATAAACAAATTGCCCAACTGCTGCCCCACATTGTACATTAAGACTGAAAAGTTTTCGGAAATTCTCATTTAAAATTCGCGCGCTGTATATTTTTCGATATTTTAAGTTTATGTAGTTTGGCAGCACTGTCCTTAATTACTATGCCAAAAATGAGCGCGATCTGTCAGACAGTTCGTTTACGGCAGCTGTTGAAACCAGTTCACCTCAGTAGTGCGTTGCGAAATGTCTTCGACGGTCGTACGACCGTCCTGAAAGGCTTTGTACCACTCATAAACTTGAGTTTTCGATAAAACTGATTCCCCATAAGCCTTTTGTAGCATTCGCAACGATTCTGCACACGAAATTTCGTTCGAAACACAAAATTTGATGCAAACTCTTTGTTCAATATTTTTTTCCATTGTTTTTTTCGCAACGCACTACTGAGGTGAACTGGTTTCAACAGCTGCCGTAAACGAACTGTCTGACAGATCGCGCTCATTTTTGGCATAGTAATTAAGGACAGTGCTGCCAAACTACATAAACTTAAAATATCGAAAAATATACAGCGCGCGAATTTGAAATGAGAATTTCCGAAAACTTTTCGGTCTTAATGTATAAGTTGTTGGTTTATTATCCATATTGAGCATAACTTGTGCTTTTAAGATTATTATTTGTCCATTAAAATTAATAATTCTCCAAAATTTAGAGTTCCAGATCAGTGTATATTTAAATAAAAATATGGTTATTGGTACAGAGATACCTGTGTTGAGTTTAGACTGAATAAAGAAGACCAAAATATATCTGTATGCAATCTGGCCACTTTCCACTAAAACGAAATCTCATAGAAATGTCACATAGAGATATCAATCTTATGGTAGGTTTACTAACAGGTATTTATAGGTTAGGAAACTATGTCAGAAGATGGAATCCCTTCTTCAATCATAACTGTCGCAACTGTGGAGAGAACAATGAAAGTGCCTCTCATCTACTCTGTCTTTATTCAGCTCATGTACGAATGCGACTAAATATTATAGAGAGTCCGTTCCTTGAGAATCTTAAACAATAAGATCACAGACTAAACCGCATTTTAAGGTTTGACAAAGGTTCTAGATAGTTTTAAACCTAGAATTTCTTTAATAAACGGTTACACAATGAGTAATAGGCGTAAGTAGATGGCCAAGGGATTGCCGGTATAACCTAACCTAACCTAGTTAAACGTTTATAACTACAATTCCAGATTTGAATCCAATCTTGTATGAAGTATTAATTTTTATTTTTTAGATTAATGTTTTTTATTTTATTAATATTATTTTAATATTATGTTTTTCTAAAAATTATATTAAAATTATAACATATCTGCCTATCTATTAAAATACAAATATATTTTTAAGAGTTTTCTTTTCAAGTCAATAAAAAAATAATTTTTCCACCTATGAAAGTTCTAACTATATTGACTTAAATTTATGCTTCTTAATACGATAATAGAATTTGGAAAACAAATATTTAACCATCAAGCAAAATTTTATGATTATCCTTAAATATGAAAAAGTATTTAAAATTAATGCAATTGTCCTGCTTTTTGAAGAAAAATAAAATAATATTCATTTTATTCACATATTTAATGTATATTTTATTACATATATAAATATATCAATTCTGTACTTAATTATTACTCGTATAGTTGCAGAAAGTTTCAAAAATAATAAGTTTAAAAATAAATAAAACAATTGCTTAAAATATTCTTTATCTCACTTTTTATTAGCTTTTATTATTATATGTATGTTGGAACTTATTGGTAGTTTATTAATAAATTTATTTTTTTTTAAATAATAATGTTTAATTCTTAAATATTATAATATTATGGAAACATTAAAAAATGTGTATTTTTTCAAAAATTTATTATATACATATAATAAAGTTTAATGTCATTACTACATTACAGCGTAAAAATACATTGTACAATCAAGTAAAATAATTAATATAGTATGTTTTATATTAAAAATTTTTAATTATATCTCATAGTATTATAAAGATAATATGACTTTTAAATTAATACAACAAAAATATGTCCCATAGATAATAACTATTAGGTTGCAGTACCGTTTCGCTTAAAGGGCGAGGTCCACTAAAATCTAATTATCGATTTAATATATAATATGTGCAAATAAGAATAATTTTAATTTTTGCTCTTTCTTTTGTAAATATATAAAATTAAATTTTTCAATTTAACTATGTTATAGTTAATATAAATTAGGTTATTAAAATTATTATTTAAATGAAACTCTATTAATTTTTTCATTGAGTTTTTATTTACATAAATTATAACTTCTCTTTATTCAACTTATATATTAAAAGTAATCCGAACTAACTAAAATGTGAAAATCTAAATTAATGATACAATAAACAGTATTTATGTTATAAATGTTTTTTATAACAAAGTAAATTTTTTCATTCAAAACTTAAAAAAATATTCAAACTAAGCATTTCAAGGACTGACCGTTGCGTTTGTATTTTGTTTGGTTTTCATTAAAAACTCTTTGCAACAATGCGAAAGATATATATATATATATATTTTCGAAACTTTTCAAATGAAAATTAATTCTTAAACTAAACTTCATACAGCTTTTACACTTGAAAGCTTCATGACCGACCACAAGTCGGTAGATTCACACGGAAGAATACGTTCAGTTCTATTAGTGAAGCGAATACCAAGAAGACTAAATACATAACCAAACACGCCGTACCGACTTTCTTATCCAGTTTGAATTTGTTAAAGGAGAATGTGATGTAGAGCAAAAATAGAGTTGATAACAGCGTTATTGCAGAATATTCTAGACCAGCTGAATTGATGCCAACATAGTTTTGTCCAGGTTGTATAGGGAAGAAGACTGCCTTGATTAGCCATGGTACGCCTAAGCAGAGCAAAATATCAAACGTATTTGAACCAATTGAGTTACAGATACCCATCGAACCATGACCTGTAAAAATATGAAAATTAAATTAATTTTTATTTGTGTTAATAATGAATTTCATATATTTATTTACTTAAATTACTTATTGAGTTTTCTAAATTTATACAATACAAATTTATGTATATGAGTTCTACTTTAATAAATTTTTTAATCTGTACTTCACTGATATTACATATCATAGTTAATTTCATAGATAAATAAATTCAATATATAATGTTTTTTATCACTGCCTGCTACTTGATATAAAATGTCCTGTAAAGCATAATTATATAATATAATTAAAGTATAAAGATATATATTATAATAATGTGAATATGTTATAATAATAGTAATAGTAACATTATTAATAGAAAATATTCCGCATCAAGGTGTAATATATTTATAGACTAAGGAGACACATTGTCCGATGTTAAAAAAATTTAAATAAGTTCCTTTGTCAAAACCAATATGCTTTGTTATTATTTTTCTAAATGAAATCCACACACTCTGCAGTGTGTTCAAATCTAAAACAGTTTATCATGTTTTATTTAATATATATTGACTTTGAGATGCTAGTTTGTAAATAGAAGAACTTTTATGTAAATCTTACTCATGTTGTGTCTTTTTCGAGTGAGTGCATCTGGGCACTTTTACTCCTTGATATCTGGAGGCTTTGTGCAGAGTCCCACCCTTCTCACTGACTAATTTATGTATTCCTCAAAAGCTTTATAGTTATTTGATGACTGATCTAGTCATTCAGAGTTTATTCTGAGTTTAGATTGTCCTAAGTAGGGTAGCCTGTTTGTTTTCGCGAATAGCTTTAAAGGTCTGTCCCTTATGATTTTTTTGACCGGGTTTATTCTAAGGTCTCTTAGCATGTCATTTGTGCGGATATACCAAGACACATGACATTAATTAATTTTTGCTATAGAATACTTGTAGACTTTTCAGTACTATAATGTTTTGTAATAGTAGTATATTTAAGAAATCATTTCCTGGCTTTTTTAAGTATCATTTTGGATTTGTGGTACCAAATCTAAATGATTTCAATATCAATAGTGCAAATATCTTTTTGGTGTTCAATACGTAATGCTGAAAAATATTTCAATCATTTCTCCATTACCTTAATACATTCCAGTATGCAATTTTTGTGTCTTTCATAAGACTACAATTGTTGATATATATATATATATACATATGTATGCTTAAGAAATTCACATAAAGTAGAGAAGGAATTTCAAAACAACCATATGGTTTTTGTATTTATTGCTTAAAACAAATAATTTAAAATTTTTACAGTTATATATATAATAGGTATTGAAGTCAATAACACCTGATTGTAGCTCACTTTAAAACCAGAAATTTTTTTTTTTGCAATATGCAAATTAACAAATTTAAATTAAATTTGGTATTATGAGTAACAGTTTATTTTCTTTTCTCTTTGAACAGCTTGTATTTTTATAAAAATATTTCTCAATATTTTTGATATCAAAAATATAATATTGCCGGGAAGAACTCCCGATCTCGAGTCAGTAAGTTATAGCAATATGTATTTTCTTCACAAGACAGCTGTATATAACATATTTATATGTATATGCAGTTGGGGATATAGCTCAGGGGTAGAGCATTCGGCTGCAGTCCGACAGGTCCCTGGTTCAAATCCGGGTGTCCCCTAATTTTTTTATACTTATAAAAATGCAACTCATACATATGCATAATTTTACGTTCAAAATATATGTCTCGTGCATATAAAGTAAAAATAACAAAAAATAAAATAAAATAAAATAGACTTATATTAAAAAATATAAAAAAAATTTGATAAATATAAATATTCAAATTTTAAATAAAACTTTTCGACGCTTTATAAACTCTATAAGTGTGCATTGCTCACCTCTTTTTGCTACAATAACACTGGATACGGCTTCAGGTACACTTGTTCCTGCTGCCAAAAATGTGATGCCCATAACTGAATCCGGAATTTTCAATGTATCACCTTAACAATGAGAACAAATTTTAAATATTAAGAATAAATGTAATTATAAGTCGCTTATACCAATTATTGTTATCATCCAAGCAACAACATATGACAGTGAACCAATCCACACTATACACATAATGAATGTCAAGGGAAATATTTTATTATTTTTGGTTTTCTTGCAATCTGGTATTGCGATGCGAAAAAGCAAATGTATTGGCCAAATTATAATCCAAGTAAATTGTGCGAAACAACTTTTGCCCTTTGGATAGCGCAGTAACGAGTAACCCTCCTCTTCGGGCTCTGCTTCCTTTTGTGCTGATGTTGTGCCAGGTTCAGTGTTCTCAATAGATAATGTGACAGGAGCATTTGATGATATGGGCGCTGTAACAGTTCCGGTTACGGAAGCCGTTGTTGTGGTTTGTGTTGAAGTTGTGACTATTGAAAGAGGTTGCATTTTGGATGAATCATTATTGACACCACCGTTAAGTTGTATTGTGGATATATTTTGGCATATGCGATTTTCAACAATATCTGAAATGTGACGAATTTTGTTATTAAAAAATTTAATATTGTCTGATTATTTATTTCATATATAAAGAGTTTATATAAATAGTGTAACAACCTGTAGGTTCCTTCTCATTACTGTTTTTTGTGTGTATGCTGCAATTGGAGGAGCGGCTTCGGGAGCGCGCCTGTTTTACTCCACCTGTGAGTGTGTAAAAGTATCAATGTTATGTTACTGTTTGTATTGTATATGTAAGTATTGCATAGTTTATTATTATTATTATGTGTATTAGGTTATGTGTATTTCTACTATTATGTTTCTATGAATATATCATGTGATAATCAATCGTGTGCACCAATATTGTTTCTCAAGAATAAGTATTACCTTTAGCGCATTTTTGAAATGCTTTATCAAAGTACATTACTGCTAAATACACTGCATACAATGAAACCAATATGAGTGCCTCGTACCACTCTACGCGTTCATCATGCATAACACAAATAAGTATTGCTACTGTTATGCCATATGCTATACTATCTCTTGTCAATGGCCACCAATCAAGTGGTATTGTCTATCAAAATTAACTCAAATTTAATTTTTAATTTCTTTATATTAATATTTCATTTTACAAACCATTCCTGCACCAATTCCACAACATGCTGCCACCGCTAATATATTAAACACAGCTGAACCCACTATAGTACCAACGCCAATATCACCTTCTGTGATAAATGTGCCAATCACGTTGACGAACAATTCCGGTGCCGATGTTGCTGCCGCCATAAATGTAGCCCCAGCAACATCATTCGACATATTTAACGCTATTACATGACATGAAAATGATTTTATCTATATTCCAAAAACTTACGACTATACTTTAGTTCACTTTACCTGCACATATTTTTTCCACGGCTGGCACGAAGTACTCATCACAGACTACAGCTAGAGCTACAAAAAGATATAGACTTGCAAGTACATGCAGTACAACAGCTCCAGCCTGTCTTTGTGCTTCTGTGAATAAATCTTTGGGAAAATCATCAATAGCGGGTTGAGTGCAATTTATATCTGAAATATTTAATAAATATAGATTATTAATAATATATTTTTTTTTGGTGACAAATAAGTTTATTATGTATATCTTAAATATATAACGTACGATTTCAACATTTACCGTATAAATTAATATTTATCAAGACCTTGGTTTTTATCTTGCCTTGATTTTCACATATAAGAATCAGGTCACATTGATTTTTTCACACCCAATAAAATTGTAATAATAACAGCAATAAAAGTATTTATTTACTAAACAAAAGCCCATCTTTTAATATTGCAAGCTAAATTATAAATTAATTTTTACTGCAGTAATATACTTTTAGCACAATATTGACCCAAATATCCATCCTCTACTTTTATAATAGATTTAATATTTATGTAATCCTATGTATATGTGTATTAACTGATAAAAAATCAAATCGATTCATTTGAAGGTGTATAGTATATCATTAATAAAGTGAAAAACGATTCTGTGATTTTTTTATAATTTGCTGACAAGTTCTGAATTTTATTATCCTAATAAAAAATATATTTTATAATTCTTTGTTCTAGCTTGTTTTTATTATCGAAAATTGATCATAAAATTCTTTCGAATGAACACAAACAAGCATTGTTATAAGTACATACAGAGTATTTCAGACCCTGTTTCCTTCGTCTATGAAACTAAAGAAACCCGTATTGTGCGATGTGCATTTTCAGTTTCAGTTAAGTTACAGTAATAGTAATACAGTAATAATAATTTTGATAAATTAATGTTGTTTCCGTATTTATTTAATAATTCCCTATATTTTTCACACAGAATGCAAATCTTATTTCTCAGTGTGTTTTAACAAAAATGAAATTTTAGCAATATGAACAAAAAAGAGAGAACTCTAATACCACCAAAACTAAAATTTACGAAGTCTTAATCCAGGAATGCAATTATTACTGTTAAATATACAGAATTATGCAGAATATATAGGATACATTTCAATATATTATTCAGATTTTGTCATTATGTGTGAAATATAACATCAGTCAAATATCTTCCATGGAATACCTTACAATTCTGGATCATTTTCACAAAACAAAGTCGAGCAATTACAAACGGTATCATCGTGTCGAATTCACAACACCAAAACGTAAAATACAACTACTTGCTTCTTAATAGCTATACTTTTAGAAGACTATATAATTTACTATCACCATATCCGATCAGAAATAAAAGACAAAAATGTCTATTCTTACACAAACTATCACTCGCAAAAAAGGGCATATCCATCTTCGCGTTTACATTCCTTAAATTTATTGTAGTGCCATTATGGTTTCCTGATCCAAAATAACGGTTTTAAAATATATGCCGCTTTTTAAATTGCGGTATTACCATGAATGCACTACGTTTAGCTTAAGTGCGCTGTGTCTCTTGCTAGACAGGCTGTCACTAATACTTGCCATCTATATTTTATGTAATAATTTATATGTAATATGCAGTTATTGTACCAATTTAATTTTTAACTAATAGTAAGGGAAATGTACCACCGTATCACAAATGGGCATAATTTGAGCTCAAGTGGACCGCCACTCCAACTTAACCTAACGTAAAGACAACATAATTGATCATTTGTGTTGGGGTCATAGTATGATGACTTCAAATTATTTTAAATTGTTATTGCTTTTAAATTGAAAACACATAAACTTAGAACTTCCAATTATATCTTTAAAAAACTTCTTTCTCTTTGCCTATCAAATAATTTAGATACCAAGAAAGACAGCAATTAAAAAAATTTCCCGGTCACTATGACTTTTCATATCGACACTGTTAAATACTGTCTTATTTTATGGAAAATTTAAAATCTTTCTATATAAATTAATTAACATTAAAATCCAATAACTTTATATTTTTAAAGTTTACAGATCCGAAAATGTTAATTATCAAACATTGCGGATGAGTTTTTAAGTTATTGAACTTAGTTTTATTATATACATTATATTATATTATATTTATATTTATTTTGGAATGGTCAAAAACTGAAACCGAATCTGCCTAATTTTTCAAAGCTATATATAAAATTTTACAACTTTCTTCAATGTTTTTGATATTTCATTATCGAATTTTCTATTTAAAATTAGTACTTAAATATAAAACCATAAATACATCAAACCCTTTTTAATAGTTTTTATTATATTTGCATTACATTATGGAAGAAGAAAATGAGATATATCGCTCAAAATAACAAAATTGGAAACCTTTTGTACAAACTCTTTCTGAATAGGCTAAGTTTATACAATCAAATATTGTATAGAACATGCCATAATAATATTAATGGAAGAGGAAATTGATCTTGATCAGTCCCCCACACCTATAAATTCATCACTGACAATAATAAGAAGCTATACTTACATATAGTTAAGAGATGCGATTGTTGCAACGAAAAAAGGACAATATGCTTTGAAGGTTCAAATAATTTGTAAGTTTTTAGTGAACTTTTAATTATTATTATTCACACATATGCAGTTTAATAATTATTTTGATAAAAAGTTTTTAGCATACAAATTCCACTAAACAAATATTCAAGTTTTACTGAAAATACACAGAAGAACTCTGAGAGCTGATTAGGCATAACTTCCTGAAGAAAAGATAATTTTGAAACAAAAAAATAGCTTAATAAGTAACGCGTATAAGTACTAGCGTATGGAACAATTTAAAAGTGGTTTGAATTGGTTTGGTTTTGATCTAATACATTTTAAAACTGCTGGATGCCTAGTAAGATATCATTAATAAAATCAGGGTCTAGAGACCGGAGGATCGAGAAATATCGAATATCTAGCAAACGTGATTATAAGATTTGATAACAGCATTTATATGCTCTTATCAAATATTTAACAGTGTAATCACTTTTAAATATGATTTTTAATTATAGGTATATGCGTTATCCATAAGAGTTATTTCCTCGTTTTATAATGATAGATAAGCTATGGATGCATCACTAACAAATGAAAACAAAAGAACATGGAATTATCTTTAATTTTTTTAGTCTTCTGCAACTTTTTGAAGACAATTCTACGAGTATTAATTTTTTCAATTTTTTGAAAAAAAAAACTCCATCAACGAGAAAATAAGGGCTTCTGTTGTTTCAAATGCACATTGTATAATTATGATTGACTACACTCAGAAAAATTTTTCTTTTACCGCAAACAAAAGGTCGTCAACTGTTTTTCATTTGTAGATCAGTCACGCAACTGGGCGATTGATCTTCTACTGATACTGTTCGGTTTCGGTTTCACTACTGATTTACATTTGTAAATTATTACGAATTTTATTTGTTGTGACTATACTAAAAACTAAATAATGTTTTGAGTATCGTTCAAAAAAGTTGAAACCATTTAATATTTTGCAACAATTTTAGACTATAATTAGGAAAAAATACCGCATCAGCCACATAAATTGTGAACTTACATATAAGCAATTGCCACAGCGAAATTGGTCCTATGTTATGAATCCTTAATCACATTCTCTTAATTTGATTCGAAAAACAGTTATAATAAATACTACCAAAATGTATCAAAAAATTTGACACATTCATAGAAAGTGTATAAAACTTAAAGGATGTTATGTTGAAAAATAAATTTATAGTTAAGCAAAAATCCAAATTTACATGTCTCTGATGTATTAAATATCCCTCGTATGAGAAAAAACTCTAAAAAGGAAAATAGGAAAAAAATTGCTTCGCTTCCATATACATTATGTTAACTAAAGTTTATCCAAATTATAATAAATGTTATTTTTAAAGAATGCTAATTCAAAATATTTTGTGATTAAGTATTTTTAATTTAGATTTAGATTTATTATATCAGTAATCTTTGTAATAGACACTAATATGATGAACACTAAAATGAATCTTTCAAAAAATTGATTAAAATGGCTACATATTTTAAATGAATAAAAACCATGGTAGGCTGCGAGAAATCTAAACTAGTATGGGTTAAGAATGGGCCATTAACTATAGGTAGAATTAAATTCACAAAATTTTGACAGAGTTTTACCCATAGGAACCCATGTTATAAAAGTATGCATCGCTTTAATCAGAATTATTGCAATAAGAAATAGAAAAAAGGAGAACTGAGTATTTCCTTACCCTTACAAAATTAACACATCCACTATGGAATGTATAAGTCATTAAAAATAAACGGACTTATCAATAGATATTCTATGTGACTGCCTAGCCTTGATCTGGGTCAGGAGGAGTTCACTAGGTCGGCAACTACTCTCACCTTCCGACATTAGGAGGTCCTCAACGACCAACATTTTAGCCTTCATTCGGAAGGCTGAATGTCTTCTGTTCAGTTAGGGTCTGTTGTACCACAAAAAATCAATCATGGTCGCAGTGCTCTGCTCAAGTGGGAAATAGTAACCCGTTTATTCTTATCTTCTTATCTTATCAATAGATAAGTCTGTGATTGGTATTGAATAAGAAAATTAATTTTACTTTATTAACCTAATATCTGACACTGCCGCCACTAAAACCAACCAAAAATTAGTAGAATCTACACAGATAATTTTTAATGATTTGTTTTTTATTCTTAAATATTTAACACATTATTTTTCTTAGTAAGTAATTTCAAATATTTTTAATTGGACTAAATCGATAAGTATAGACAAAATATTGAAGTATAGCTGCAATATCTTCCACTGCAGGAGCAATCAATCTATATAATAAGAGAAATAAATTCAACTAAAAAAATAATTTTACAAAATAATAAAAATTACTGCAATAATAAGAAGTAAGTCAGTCTCACAAAAACTAAGGCGGCAACTGATAAACAAAAACTATGAACTAAAAAGCATAAATTAAACAAATAGAAAAACAACAACGCTAAGAAAGCAAAACAATAATGAAATTCACTTAAATGGCGGCAACTCTTCTATTAGTAAAAGTTGTTGTCAACAATTTATTGCAAACCTTGGAAAGATAAAACAAATTTAGTTGCGGTTGTGATGCAATCCGCAAAAGTGTAATGCGGTTTTATGCTAA